TCTGCCTGCAGCAGGGCACTCTCTGAGGGGAGATGGGCACACTGCCCCAGCCCATGCAGGTAAGGCAGCCTGCACTGGGGGTCCCCATCCCTCCCTCCAGCTGCTCCAGTGGCAGTGTCCCCAGGGGCTCTGGGAATGGGGGATTGGGCTCTTCACCCGTGGCTCAGGCTTCCACTCCCAGCCCCTCTGTGAGTGGAGGGAGCCCAGTTTGGGACAGAGCTCTGGCTCCAGCCACTGCTGTTGGAAGGCAGCTCCTCAGACAGGTCCTTACCCTCCTGCAGGAGCTGCTGGCTGCCCTGCACCAGGGAGGACCCACAGCTGAGAGAATGTTCAGGAGAGCTGACAACACAGGCGCACTTCAGGAGCTGCACAAGGTGCCGGACTGTGGTGTGGACATCGACATGGGAAGCCAGCCTGCAGTGCTGCTGGCTGTCATCCTGAAGGTGAGAGATTCCGACCTGCAGCTGGAAGAGCTTCTGGCTAGGCTAGAATCTTCAAAGGGTCACCAGGAGTTGTTGGCATTGCAAGTCTTCCTCCGAAGCATCCCCTCCAAGCTCCTCGTCAGGGAGCTCTACAAGGGCTGGATGGCAGCGATGCAGATGGCCACCAGGGAAGATCTGTGACCTGAAAGCATAAGCGTGGGCAGCAGACTGCCTCTTGAGCAGGGACTGGGAGAAGCCTGGCACTTGCCTGGAAGGGGGAGGTCTCCTTAAGAGGTTCTGTTCTCTGGCAGCTGGCTGGTGCTGGTTGGGGTCAGATTTTGGGGGAATGGAACCTTCTCCTGCGTGTGTGAAATCAGGAGCTGGGAAGCAAAGACATGCTTCCTTGCTCAAGTGCCAGAGCCCTGAGTGCTGGCTGCAAGCACCTACAAAGCTGCTCAACACAGCTGCTGGCTGCCCCTGCCTTGTGCCAGCTTTGGGGGTGGCTGTGGCTGCATTCATCTGCTTGAGGAATGGTGCCTTCCTCTTCACACAGGCTGGCCAAGAAGTTACCTGCAGCCAATCTCCTCCTCAAGCAGCTGCTCTGCATGCTCCAGCATATCAGCCTGCATGTGTCCACCAGCAGAATGACCCCCAGCAATCTGACCATCTGCCTGGGGCCAAACATGAGGAACCCTCCCAGTGAGGACCTACTCCTGCTCGAGGCCAGGCTGACCATGACCGAGAAGGTAATGCTGCCTTGAACAGCCAGCTGCAGCCTCACTGGCCCAGCTGCCTGGCAGCTCCCTCTCCACAACCAGTGCTGTGGGGTCACTGCCTGGAAGAGCTGCCCCACAGGCACAGCCTTGTGTGCAGAGGCAAAGCTCAGGAGTGATGGAGTTTATGATGGCAAACTTAGATGACCTCTTTGAGGAGGAGACTGCTGGCCTGGAGGAGCCACCAGTGCCCACAGACAGATCCACAGGTATGAGCAGGAACTGAGGACTGTCACAGCCTGAGACTCAAGATACCAGAAATCGCAACATCAAGAAAACAACTGGCATAGGGCTCGGGTGGGTTTTGCTCCACATGCTCTTGTCTGTCAAGAAGTCTCTTTGGTGCATGTGTTTTTGCTTTCTAGTCC